ATACGCAAAATTTGCATAGTCCAAAATAGTCACAGAAATTATGATAAGTTCCAAAGAATACTACACTTCTCATTAGAAATGTAGATCTTAAATATCTAATTTAGAATTTGTTCGGAACTATCGGAAAATTGGATGCTGGAGAATTAACGCGCACTAGTCATGGTGCTATATCTTCAGAACAGACCCCGTTCGGTACTAGTGCGTTTCCCTACAGGGTATGTATGTACATACATATAAGTAAGTGTGAGCTTGTAGCTGCCAATTTAGTCGCCAATTAAAGCAGATTATAATCAATCGTTCAACTGCTGTTCATTAATCACATTAATTTTGGGTTTAGTCGCAAACTTTGAAATTTGATAGCCAAACTGATACCAATACTGATTGATAGCTAGAGATCAAACGAGAAGATGGTTTGACGAGCTCGTCTGCTTGTTTAGCCAACAAAATGGGTGGGAAACATGCAAACTCGCAAACATACTACACATGTATGTAAATATGTATGTATGTGAATAGCTGATGAGCTGCACGAGCATTGATTATTAGCCAAGTTATTAGCCTTTGGGTAGAGTTATGGCGCGGTGTATGGCAATTTATGCGTGTCGAACTGTCGCTATGGCTGAACGCTCACATTAATTACACAATTTAAACTCAATCAGAATCTATTAATTCTATTTAATACATGTTAAGTTAAATAACTCCAGCGGCTGTGTTGTTAATTGCTGGGAAACTGAAACAGAAAAAATAAAAACAAGAAATTTCGTTTCGAGTTCTGGATTGAAAAGATCATTTTAAATATGAACCCACTCACCTTTCAACACCCGTAATGTAATTACATATTGTAATTATACAAGGAACTTGAGGTTTTTTAATTTGTGTTTTATGTCCGTTTTTGTCTTGACATATAGTACGTATGTATGCGTGCATGTATGTAGGTTTAGAAACAATGTATATATACACACGCGTCGGTTATTAATCATCAATCATCACCTTCTTTGATTAATGTGCGCTCACTCTAATAATAAGCGATCGTTCATACATACATATTTACATATGCTCCTATCGAGAGTTGATGTACACTTATTGCAATTCACTTCAATTATCGAGAGATCGGCGACACTGCTGTGATTTAACGCCAACGCTTTTCATATAGATAAAGGCAACAGGAACCATATTTTGGTGGACTTTTCATCATTGATACCAAATTCGGTTAATTGTTGTACGTAATTTTCGAGTATTGTTTACTGGCAGGTGAAATGTAAAAGTAAAAAATTTTAAAATAGTTTCAAATAATTGTTGTGAATCGCAACAGTATATAAATTATGGTGTCTGCTTAAGTGTTGAAATCTTATAACACTAATGTGAATGTGTCAAAGCTGAGGTTGTCATCGCCGAGTTAGACATTTTTAATGGAAAATGCAATCAGAACATTTTGTCATGTACGGATGCATTGTGTATGAATCACAGATTTGAACGCATCAGCCGCTTCTTCAGGCATCGAAAAACGTTGATGTCGCAAATAATTTTTTATCTACTGGAATTAAAACAAATCATTGGGTATCAAATCTCGACTGTATGGTACAGACTAGTCCACTAATTAATCGATGAGCAAAAAATGTTAAACAAAAAAATGGACTTCACTTAATCGACCAACCGTTTTCTTTAGACTTTTTCAACTAGTGGTTTTCTTTCAATAAACATACTTATATAAAACATAATCGCACTAATAACAATAAATTTATTAGTCTTGATCCTGTACTTCTCGCACTAAATCTAGCAAAACAGTCAAATAACAAAAATGTGCTCACAGCGAGTACCAGATCGATTTCAAGTAAATAATGGTAAACAAATTTTAAAGTTCGGACTGGGTATGGGATCAAGCCTATAGTGAACTACTGAATAATTTCAGTTAGTCGATTTACAGACTAGAGATGGGAAAGGGATATCGGGACCACATGACTCGCGGACTCGCAGGACTCAAGGTACTACTTTCAAAATGGCCGGGATGGGCGTTATCGGGAATGTTATTAAAAATTTGCGCATGGGAAGAAAATCTCTTTCCTACACTCGCAATAAAACCAGCGGTTAAGAAAATCTTCCTTAAACGTTATGTGAAATTAGCTCGTTTTATTGTTATATTGAAACGAAAACGAATAGCAAAGCAAAATTTCATTACCAGAAGATAAAAGTTCGTTTAGTATGACGATCGTTGAAAGTGAACGGTTAGTTGCATTCGAGCGGTCAGTCGAATTAATGACGAGACCCCAAATTTTTTTTTATTTTGAGCTTCACTGCACACTCGAAATTAAACGCGACTGCTTTATTGTACTAGCTGACATAAACTGAATTTCGAGCGGCACAAAACAATTAAAGCATTCTTTTCAAAGGCATTTGCAATTGTATAAACAACAATTTAATTCAATTTTATTTTTATTTGCCTAAATTCATACTGTTTGCTCGCGTTACATGTATGTACGATATGTCGTTAATGGGTTAAAAGGGAAATTTAGGAAAACTGGTGTTTTTTTTTTTAATTTTTATCGCAAACAGTCTTTCGCATATTCTTCTACAAGAAATTCATGCTTAAAGAGCAGTTACCCACGGACGTAAAAATGGAGAACGTGTCAGTTGACCGCGCTCTGATATGGAAAAAAGTGCAAAACGCCATCAACAAAAAAATAAATTATTAAAAAAGCGAATTTTTTGCTGCTAAAACCTTGCACTTATTTTACTAAAATTGTATAAGCAGGGAACGGATTTTATGGAAATAGCCTTTTTTTCTTCTAAATATATAGAGTATATTCGAATTAGTATGTCCACAATTTAGCTTGCCCTGATTCCATATATAAAAATTTTTTGCCTTTTTTAAGATTTTTGCCTTTTCTACCTTTAATTGTAAAGCGCAAGGTAAAAGCCCTTATCCCAGATAATATTAAAGTTTTGAAAAAATTAATGAATGGAAATGCTGCCAGAAAACTTCAAAGTGCATCTTGTCGTTCAGTGTTACTACAACTAGTATAGAGATTAAAGTTTTGTGAGTTAAAAACTCGAAAGGAGAAAATAGTCAAAGATTCAAAGAACAAATTTGTAATATAATGAAACTAGTTCATAGTTGTAAAATAAACATTCCTAAAATAAATGTCGACGGCTTATATTCAATTCCCTTCCCCTATCTGCACTTTTCACAAAAATGAGATTCTGCTGCAAAAATCCGCCTAAGACTTAACTGTCGTCGGTGATATTAATGTGAAGATTTTACTATTAAATTGCAAAATCAAAATTAAAATCAGTGATGACAGGTAAATCCCAGATGGGTTCTAACATCGCAGGAAGTTTATATGAAAATTGGAGATAGAAGGTATTGTATATAAACCCTCGATGTATTTTTTTGATTATGTTTCGGTGTTTGTATTTTTTACGATTTCTAGTGTCTTTTCCTGCCAGTTTCGCTATTTTTAACCGACTTCCAAAAAAGGAGGAGGTTATCAGTTCGTCGGAATCTTTTTTTTTTCTTTTTTTTTTATGTATGTTACCGCATAACTTTGGACCACGTCAACCGATTTCGATAATTCCCATACTAATCTGGTTGAGATCCGATCAGTGGATCATGAGATTTATATATATATATATTTTTTTTTTATATGGGAGTTGAAGTCGGTTTTTTTTGCTAAAAATTACTTGTATTTTGCTTTTTTTTATAGGTTTTTAGGTCCTAAAAATCCGCTCCCTGTTTATAAGCCTTGTAAATGCATACCCAAATGGGATTTTTCTAAATTATGTATAGAGCTTGAACGTTTGATTTGTATGGTTTATGCTAAAACTAAAAATTTTTTCATAATAAATAACAAAAAAAGGTTAGCTTGAAAAACATTTTAAATATTAAAAGCAAAACACGCAAAGCACGCTAATCTTTATAAGTATGTATTGAGCATTGGTTCAGGTTAGGAAAATCGGTTGAAAATTCGGTAAAAATATTAACATTTAGATAATGAGTGACGTTTTTTTGAAATTCGATATTAGTCTTCCAACATAGCATACACAAGTTTTTTAAATTATTGGAGTCACTTGAAATTTGTTACTCGGGTTTTTTTGGGTCGCTGATTGCGAATATGATTATGGATTTTTAAAATTCGAAATAGCGGATCCAAATGGCGAATTCAATAAGTTTGTAATTTTTTTATCCGCAGAAAATGAGCGAAGCCCTTAACAAAAAAACATGCCGAAAATCTGGAAACTCAAAATGTATCTATGAAATTTACGAAATCGAAATTATTACGAAAGTTTTTGGATTTTTTTTAATACACATTGCACAACGTTTGGAATTGGGATTTATACGGTTTTTGTTAAAGAATAAACTATATTTTTACAAAAAAAATTATTTAAATTAATAATAAAAAAATAATAGTCAACACTCCTTAAAACTTAGGTTTAGGCAAATGCGTTTTCTTAAAATTGCAGACCTTTTACTCGATTTGTTCGATTTCAGACCTTTTACTCGATTTGTTCAAAAAAAAATTTAAGTGAAAGGTATGACATTTTAAGAAAAAGCAATTGCTTAGTTTTTATGTATACGGCCCAATATATGTATATGCATGTGTGGATGGCGTATTATTGTGATAAGCACTACACTTTTTTCACAGTTAAAGAGTTTGAAGAAAAAATTTGGGGTTATGCCGAATTTCCACTAGGCATTGAAATGAAAAAAAAGTATGCCATTTAAAAAAATGCCATGTGGAAATGAACTTAATGACCATTTTTTAATGTAATGACACAGTTTTCTTTTAATGCCCGACTTTGTCATTTGTCATTTTTTCCATTTAATGCCTAGTGGAAATCCAGCATTAGACGAACGTTTACGTTATGAAGTTGGGTTATGGCATGACACCTGGTCAATGATATTTTTCTCGATAATGCAATCTCTGACTAATGTAACTTGTCCTTAACTGTTCTATAAGTTGGCTCTGCAGGCTACTAATTTCAATAATTTCTTTATAAATTCCAGTATGTCCTCCACACATTGCCAATTATCAACGAACAGTCATTTCACTGCTATCATCGTGATTCCTGCCATCATCTATACACTACTGCTCACATTGTCAAGCACGCTTGCCAGCGCCTATGTGCTCAATCCCACCAACATCCTCACACTGGCCAAATCTGCACAACCACAACAGCAGCAATACTCGTATCAAGAACGTAAGCCCACATCAGCGCTTGCTTCCAAAGTACTATTTCATAGTCCATCCTTGGCAAACTTCTACAAAGATATGATTGTCTCATCAAAGCCACTGCATCTACGCAAACATGGTAATGGCCAGAAGGCGAAGAAAACGAAGAAGGACTCGAAAATCTATTATATTCCAATACCTCCAATGCCATATCGTTATATACCCGGTGTGGGATTGGACTATCAGCCAGTCAAAATCAAGCCCATTTTGCAAGAGGCACCATTGGCGGCAGGCAGCATTGCTGGTTTGAATCAAATTGCACATGTGAGTAGTAGTAGTAGTAGCAATGCGGGTGGACCGACGACAGTCAACGCGAATCAGCACGCAGCATTAAGCCAGCTGAGTGAAAATAATAACCGCACACCTGTTGGTAGTAAAGGTGCTTCCCATGGGAGTGCGAACAAAAATAAGCTTGATGTATCGGCAAATAGACTGACCAGCAGCGTAGGCGGCGAAAGTAAATTGTATCGCATGCATCGCGGTGATTATTATTTCAATGGACGGCCATTTAGACTGCAGGTGGCGCATGCGCAACCAAAGAATCAATTAACGCCACTTAATTTTAAGTCTAAACTGTATTTTAACAAGAATATTATTTATTAAATTATTAAAGCCAACAAATGATGAAGACTAACAACAATATAATAGTATATGTGTTCTATTTTAATCAACGGTGTAGTGATGTGGGTGAGGAGGTCAGCTTGAGGCAACTCAGACAACTCAATGTGCTGGTTTACATATTGGTAGGCTTTGGATTTATTTTTTTCATTTATTGTGGCCTTGAACTCGAAATCAAAATGATTTAATGTTATTTTGATGCCATTACAAGTTATTTCAGATAATTAATTACCTCTCATTACCAGTAGCAATATTTACAAAGCGAATTCGTTTGATTTGTTACTGGTAATTTATATAATATTTTGCATGCGTATGAATATGTGTTAGTGAAATAATTTGCCGAAATAAATAAAAGTTGTTTGTAGTATTTTTGATAATTTATTAAAGATCATAGCTAATTACTTCTAAAATATGTCAAAATTTATGGCTGCTATCAGAAAACTTTGGGGAATTTTTTTGAAAAAAAGTACATATAGCTGGTCATATTCTAGTAAATATCAACGGAAACAGATAACGGCGCATTCGATGCAGTTTTCTTCAAGTCGTTGAATTGATTGATTTTTTTTGAGTCACTGTAGTATGGATTTCGAGAGAACTATGTAATTCATAGCCCTGTTAACATGGGCAACGGGTAACAAAAAACAGGGAATGATGATGCACCGTAAACCGCAACTATTGAGAAGTTTGATGTGGAGTTCCACCTTAAATTGTAATTTGTGTAAAACGAAAAAAATTACTTTGATTGTTAGTACTGAATACATCGAACAATTTTTTGCGATATAAATTATTTTTATGAAAAACCCAATTCTTTATACACTTTTAACGCGGTGAAGACTTTATACATATATAACGCGGTACATATGAATATACATACATATATTCATACTTTTTCCCAATAGTATAGGAATTAAAATTAGTGAAGCGTAATGAAAGTAAAAGATGCCGTTGAAATTACAAAGACTTTTCACTGCAAAAGGTTTATTTATGCATACATACATATGTATGTATATACACTCTCATATCTAAAATATGGCAGTTACTAATGCCCTAGAAATCCTAGAACAATATCATCCACAACAATTATTCCACTTTGGTCTTATTTGTAGTTGTTCTAATCGAGTTACTTTCTAATGATTTTGATTGTTCAATCCTAAGCGTATTCCAATATCTAAAACAAAATTGCAAATTGAACATTCCCTTTTCTATGAGTACTTAGTTAGAAGTAAGATGAAACCAAAATATCATACCATCAAGTGAAAGCAAATAACGTGCCGCTATCATTTCTCATTTATATAATAAGTTAATAATTCACTGTAGTAGTTAGGTAAAAGAAAAAATATTTAAATATCTATCTTGTTAATCAGCAAAGCAATCAAATCTACTAAGGGCAAAATAAAAATAAAATAAAATATAATAAGAATAGACAGTAATTTTTATTTCTTAATCAACGAAGAAAATGCTAAATCAGGTGATCGAAGAGCATATTTATAAGTGAGATCAATTACATACATACATATATATGTATGTACAAAAATGGATCGGGCGAATTGATGACTTAATTAATGAGTATAAATGTGATGCAGAAATTTTGATTAAGTGTTTAATTCAACTCTTTTTTTTTTGCAACAGAGTGTAGATCTGAGTTGCAAATTCGGATATTCTGACATATGTACATATTGCACATATTAAAAATTAAAAGAGTAAAATTTGAGGGCATTCGAGTAAAAAAAATACACACAGAACTGGGCGGTTAGTCCCAAAAACTTTTTTTTTTGATTTCATAATATTTAACTATGCTCGTAATTTAAAAATTTCTGTATCTATTTATAAATATGTAATTTTTAAGCAAAAAATAAACCCGACTTCAATTCTCATTGTAGTAGCGTATTTTAAGCAGAGCTAAGCGCCATAATGGGGCGGCTCATAACCTCCGCCCTCTCGAGCTGGCAAGGAGGGGGGCGGAAATATCCGAAGTCAATTCTGCTCAAAATGCGGCTGAACTCATCGAGAAGGTACATAAATACCGGGGGGTGGGGGGCGGCTGTGGAAACCATCTGCCATACTACCAGGCAAATTTGGCCAAAGATTGATGGAAGGTGATCCATAGCTCTTACTCGGCTGGACCGCTCCTCTCTCAGATCAGAAGTCGGGGTAATCACCGGACACTGTCTGAAGGGCACACACAGAAAAAGGTTAGGATACCCCACCAACGATTTTTGTCGCAGCTGCAGGCGGTGGAGACCATCGAACACTATCTATGCCATTATGCCCGCCCTGGTCAATACGCGCAACCAATTGTTTCACAAGTGTTTTCTAGATTTTTTAGCCACCTTAAAATCGGCGAACGTCCTTGACTTTTTGTGCTATATAAAACGACCAATTGGTTCAATTAATTATGCTGGATTTCCACTAGGCATTAAATGGCAAAAATGACAAATGACAAAGTCGGTCATTAAAAAATAATCGTGTCATTACATTAAAAAAATAACCATTAAGATCATTTCCACATGGCATTTTTTTTAAATCGCAGACATTTTTTGTCATTTCAATGCCTAGTGGAAATTCGGCATAAGAGAGGGAAAGAAACAAATGGCTTCGGCCAGTGGTATCACAACGGGCTTTTCCAGGCCACGTCTCACAGTGGTTCGGATAGCAGATCTAGCTGAACGAAAGTCAAAATTTTTTTGTGTTTAAAATACTTAATGGTACTTGGAATACATTCCTGACAATACATTCAAATAGAAATTGCATTTATTAAAGCATAAACATATGAAAACAAACAAAAAAAGGTAAGTCAACGCCGCCTATTTAAGAACTCTATTTTAAAAGCTGAAATTTAACTTAAAAGATTGTTAATTGCACTCACAGATATTTGCATAATTGCAAATTGACTTTGTAGGAGGGGGTAGGGGTTTTGTTTTAAAACAGAAAAATACTTGGAGTCATAAAAACTTTGGTTATGTAAGAGGCATACAAATCTTTAAGCGCTGTTATATGTTTCTGAAATTTATTTGTGTTTCTTGCTGTGATCTTAAATTTTAGTCATGGTAAATAAAATCTTAAGAAGTGAGTTGTTTGACATTTGGAGAAGTGTTGCTGAAACTTCTAAAAGACAACAAGGTGTCCGTGATTATGTGATTAGTAAATTGAAAGAAATATCTGATGAAAATGCTCGTTACGAAGTAAATAAAGTAAATGACTTTAGATTCGTAATCAGCAACTCAGAAAACCCCCAGATACCCAGCTACATAGAAATCTACCGATTTTTTTCAATTTTCGTCCGCCATATTGGATCCGCCATTTTGAATTTTTGGTAAATGACTTTAGATATGTAATCAGCAACCCAGAAAACCCCCAGATACCCAGTTTCATAGAAATCTACCGATTTTTTTATTTTCGTCCGCCATATTGGATCCGCCATTTTGAATTTTTGATAAGTGACTTCAGATTCGTAATCAGCGACCCAAAAATCCCCTAAGTAAGAAGTGGTGTTAAGATCCATCAACGAGTATTTGTTTAAATGGTTTCGTCCAGCTAGATTTGCGATCCGAACCACTGTGCGTCTGCTCCGCTATCTGCGAGGGGCAGCCACTCTAACCTAACATACGGATCTGTTTGCGTCTGCGGTAGCCCTTGCTGGCATCCTACCTAGTGAAAATATAATATTCGGATAAAAAATAAGCGTAATGTATTTCAAACCCCTGATGTATGTATTAGTCTTTTAAACATCTTAGATTCTAATTGAAACCCATATCGTCGGTGATACTGCAAAACGTTCTATGTCACCTATTACCTCTGGTGCTTAACTGATCTTCTATCTGTATCTGATCGCTTCTGGCAATCGTTCATCTTCACCAGCCAAAGGTAGACAGTTTTATCATTCGTTTTTTATGGTGTAACGATTTGCATATGCATTCCGGTGCAAGTAGGAGACCATCTAAATGTCAAGGATACTAATAGATATTGACCTTTTTGCAGTATCACCGACGATATATGGCCTTATTCTTAAAAGGTAAAATAGTTTTTTAAGATTCGTAAAGCATTTTAACTCCTCTATATTTTTTACAAATTGGGGTGATAGACTATAGCTATGCAGATATGTATGTATGTATGTATGTATGTTTATATGCGTGTAGATACTCTGCACCAAATCAAAGTGGTTCAGAACTTGCGCCGAGCTAGCTTGAAAAGGGACGGTAGTAGTTCTTCATCAATCCCAGATCAATGTTTTCAACTGTCTTTTTTTGATATGGCGATGTGCTACGTAGTGGTAATTGCTCTCCCTCTGCAGACCTTTTGAACTTGTTCTGCACTGGCTTCATTTTGGACATGCATATGTGGGTCAATAAGTTTTGTTAGTTTAAAATTAAATTTTTGGATATTTTTTCGTTTTTCTTTTCTTTTACAGATAAACTCATGATAAGACTGATTATTTTATTTTCATTGATTTTATTTTTATTTTATTTTTATTATGTAAATTTCCATATTTCCTCTTCCGCGGTAAAAATGCTCAATTAGAAATACTTGTAATTAATTTATTCTCCTTATATGAAGTACCTAATATTAATGCATTCGGTATTTTAGTGCCCATTGATGCACTTTTAGTAAATTTTTCTGGTCATTAATTTTGTTATAAACCTAAAAATTTCTGGTAACACAAATAGCTGAAAGTGGAATTTTCTAAATAGACAAAAAATAGTATAAGTCCGACTTTCGGGAATAAAAACTCCTTACGAAACTCCTTTTACATCCGAGGTGTAACTGCTCCTGCAAACCCTTCAGTTTGACAGAGCTTTCCAAATTATTTGCCCAGATCACATCTAACAGCTACTTTAGAGTCGGAGGCAAGGCGCATCCATACTAGGTGGTGGCAATTGCATATAAGTAAAAGTCCCATGTATTTTGTTATTGCTTTTTGGTACAGGAGGATGTCAAAACGAAAGGGAATAGGAGATAATTTTCGTCATTTCGTTTTGTTGACATCGTAAAGTTGCGCCACTTCATCTTGGATGGCATTCTCCTGAACTAGTGTAGTGACAAAAAAAAAAAAATATCAAATCAGCTGATCAATCAACACCACCTTGTATTGATGCGCCTTAGTCGGAGGTATGTATTCTCGCGGAGCTACTTTCGTATTGTACGACAAGTGAGAATTGATAGATACATTTATTTCTCAGCTTTCAACAGCGCAACTAGCACAACACAAATTTTACAATTGCTTCGCTCTGCAGCCGTTTCGCAGTGGTTCAGTGACAGTTCTGAAATTTGTAGGGCGGAACCAATGCTTTTCCAGATTGTCTCTAAATTTCGCTGCAGGGATACTTCTACCTAATTAACACAAATAAACAAAAATGCTTATATGGTAACGGTTGTTATTTGGTATACATAACATGTGTGCGTATATGTATGTAAACAAGTTTATGCTCAAGCAACTATCGAACCAACTTTAATGCAAACTCTGGTGAAAAAGCTAGTAAGCTGCTTAAGCAGATATAATTTTGATTGAAGTATTGGAATGCTTACATTTTCCGCCCATAATTAACTTCAATTTAAACTATTTCAACTTCACTGTCAACAAAAAAAAATTATTCAGCATATTTGTTTACCTATTGTTTAAATAGTATACAAAATGAATTGTAAAGAGTCCAGCGAATTGCCGCATACAAAATATGTGCAATTTACACCACCACCTCGACGTCGCGGCGATCCATTTATCATTGAAAAATCACAAGCCGAAAGAGAAGACACAAATTTGGAGGCACTCAAGGAGATACCATTGGAATTTGTCGATGAAGTTGTGCCAGAGGAAAAAGTTACCGTTAAATTTCGTGTTGATGGTACGCGCATAGTAGCGCAAGTCTATTCAAATCGTTTTAGCATTGGTGATATAAAAACTGATATTGGCAGCAAATTCGAAGTGAATCCCGAATTTTTAGCACTAAAGCAAGGAGATCGCGAGTTGCCAAATCGTTGCCTGTTGGCGCAAACTGATTCCAACAAATTTGGTATTTACGAATTCGATTTGGAATTGCTAGATGCGTCCGAAATGCATCTCCCCAAAGATGCTGTGCCACCTAAGTTGGATTTGAATATATATTACGAGTAAGAATAGAATAAGAAGAATAGTACTTAAATTGAGCGAAATTTAACGTATTCTTATTATGTATTATTCATTTAGCAAATACCACATGCCCGATTTCATAACGGTGCATATCGAGGGCGAAGATGGGAAGCCCAAGACCATCGTCGTAGAGATATTGAATAAGGCGATAGTAAAACCATTCTTGTGTGGCTATCGAGATAAAGCAACAGGTAGACATCAATTCAAGCAATATTTACATGTATGATGTTCAATAATCAGCTACCTTACTGTTGAACATCATTTGGTCTATTCCTAGGTATTGAATATTTGGACGCATTCACTCAAACCGGTCCATATTTTGATAAAATGAAGTACCATCGCCACGTCAGCAGAGATACCCAAACTCGTGAATTTAAAGGAAAGGAAATTGTAAGTTAAAAGTAAGGAAGTATAAGTTCGGGTGAAGCCGAGCTTTATATACCCGACACATAGTGGTCTCAACTCCAAATCTAGGTGGACAAAACTTTTTGATCAAAGAAACTTTGAAACAATTAACCACCACTTTGTTCCTAGGTGTTTTGAGGTCGCTGAGTACGAATCTGAAGTGAGATTTCAAAAATTCAAAACGACGGATACACTAGGGCGAACACAAAAAATAATAAATCAGTAAACTTTATCAAAACAGTTTATTTTGGGTTTTTGGGATCACTGATTACGAATCACTAATCTGAAATTCGAATTTTTAAATGACAGTTTGGACAGAGTTTTTAAATAAAATGAATAGTCGTTATATTTGCTTACGAATAAACCATTTTCAAACTTAGAAGTTTACATACATACATACATACATGTATGTATATCTATCTATATCGACACCTGAGTGGAAGATCGACCTACATATCTCGGCAGCCAGCTCGAAAACGCCCTATGTCAGAAAACTTTTCAAGAACGCTCTATTTTAGAATCTGGTTGAAGAACGCCCTATCTCAGAAGCTTAGTTGCTATTTCTAGTGCCTTTTCCTGCCTATTTCGCTATTTTATTTTGCCTTTTTTATAAGTTTTTAGGTCCTAAAAATCCACTCCCTGGTTATAACACTAGGACGCACATCACATTTTGGAGGAGAAACTCGGCCAAACACTTAGCAAAAATTTAAGCGCCAAAATATTATTATTATTATTAACCCTCAATATATCATTTGCAATGATCTTGCATTGAGCTTCTTCAAAATAAGGTCCCGAAAGACCTCTTATGGCAGGAGTTTATGGGTTACAATTTACTAATAAAAAATTTCTCACTGAATTTTCCTAAATATACATTTTTACAGTACGGGGTTTACTCACATTGGGCAGTTAACGTTAAAGTTACAAAAAGTGCAAAATTTGTTAATTTAACTTCCAAATGCGAGTGTACTGGTCACTGTGAAAGCAGTCCTCCTCCGCAATCGTTTGGACACTATTTTGTTGAGGCGTTTAACCATATTGAGCTTTTAATTTCAGGATACTGCCCATGAGCAAGCTACTCAGTGCTTTCAAGATGGCAACAATGTGCTGCGTATCTCCGCTGCCACAGACTACACCATAACTCCGGGAAAATATCAAACTTATGCACAGAAGATGCGCCGCGAAAATAAACTAGCTAAAATCATATTGATTCAACGTAATTTCCGTAGCTACTTATTTATGCGGTACGTTCGGAATACGGCAGCAAAGTATCGGTAAGCCAATATGTGAACAATGCATGGTCGCTGCTTAACAAATTAAATAATTGCATATGTTTATCTTTTTGGGGTTCGCATCCACGTCCCTGATGCAACGTAGCCGGTTGGTGGCCAATCGCAAGGCTGAAGAGGAACGTCTGCAGGAAGAAGCTGAAAAGCGTATCAAACGCGTTGAATTAGCCAAGCAGTTTCCGCGCACCAAAGATGACTTTGAGATGTTGTACAGCGAGGTGCAAAAATGGAAGATAGCCGAACTGAAGCGTATTGCACGTCTGTACGAAGGGCCAGCGCGCATCGCCGAGGTCAATGTGTTGCTAGACAAGGAGATACAGCTACGCAACGGCATCGAAAAGCAACGAATCATCGTCAAAAAGGCAATGGAGGATTTTCGAAATGAAAAAATGCTAACCAAGTTGGGCGAACCAATTAAGTGGATCGGCTATAAAGGTGAGATTTCAGTTATTTTTAACTATGAGATAACTATTTAAAAGCTAACGGACGGAACGAGCAAATACGGGTGATTCATTTAGGGCCAATTTCAGATGAGAAATTTACTTAAGTTGCCGATTGATTAATACAAAATATTCATTTTCTGTTCAAATATTTAAACTATATTATAATGCTCAATTTCGGCTATTGAAATATGAAAAAGCAACCCCGCTTTTGAATACGAATTCATATATAACTTAAATGCCATTTAATTCTTGATCGGAAATTCGCCTTTAGACCAAATTTTAGAGTCAATTTTTCCTGGAATATATATGTATATGTATGTATGGGAGCGCATGATGAGGAAAGAGGCACAAATGACATCGAAAATGTAGACTTCAATAGCGGTCAAATGAGAGGAGAAAAAACAAATCTATGTATCAAAATGTGCAAGTGTCAATTATGTATTTAACTTTTGCAAGTCTTTTGAAAAAACTCTCAAAAATATGCCTACTGAGTTTCCCATTGAACGATATTGATAGATATTTCGCGGGCGGTCCAATCTGGCTGTCACACAGAGTGACAAAGCAGATTGTATTTTAACACTAGCAAATGCCCGGCTTGCTTCGTGCCGCCTGATAAGAGTTCTTGCGTTGACCAATACAAAAATAGTGTTAAAATGCAAAAAACATTAAGTAATGTAAAAGTAATTAGTTTAGGTTAGGTTAGCATATGGTATATGTACATTAGAGATGGGCACGTGAGTGATTTTAGCTCACGTTCACGCACGCTCACGTTGATGGTTTTGTAAAACACGCACAATCACGTTCTGCCATATTTTTTTTTACAATCACGTTCACGCACGCTCACGACGCCTAGTTTTTTTCATCACGCACGCTTCTTCACGGACATTTTTTTTTCAAATTCAAACTTTCTTTATATAAATAGCATTTCATATAAATAGGCCTTATCTCACGAGTATTGTTACAAAAGCTCTTAATTTTTTAAACAAATTTCATAGAAAAGAATTCACATGAATATTCATTCAACGTGATTTTAAAATGACATTAGCGCATATTTTTGTTTAAAAATATTATTTTGTCGAGGATTTCACCGAGCCATCGCGTAAGTCTTTCTTCTAAAATTCCGCCTGACACAGAAAAAAATCGTTCGATAGCACTGGATAACAAATTTTAGTTTGGTTTTTGTTCTTCTCTTGTTCTTCAAATGAGCTAATAAAATTCTCCGTAAACCATATGTACTTCAATTTCCGATAGGACTGATAGTTTCTGACAAATTAATTAATCATTCCAGTTTTTTTTTATTTTTTTTAATTAATAAATGATAAAAAACAATCAAACTTCAACAGAAGAAAAATTAAAAAAAAATACAGGATCTGTGCCAAATTTTTGGATTTGTACCAAAGCCTGTTCTGTTACAAAAAATAATCAAGTTACTAATGAAGAAAGCGATGGATAAACAAAGGAGGAATGAGTGTTCAAATGAAAATGCGCAAAGATTTTTTATATGAAATCTGAGCAGAAAAGCGTGTTACTCAGGACTCAGGTATACGTGGCGTATGAGTAACTTTCTTTCCTGCTCGTTTTTCATACAAAAAATCTTTTCATAAAAAACTCCATTTTTGGAGATTATTTTCAAATCGGTCCAGCTAATGTAAATCTTAATATTTTCCCAAATATTTTGGTGGACGTCTTTAAATATAATAAATTTTGTAATTCCCACAACTTTTTTTTTTTTTTGGTGATACAGTCTAATGTACAACATACATATCAAGCCCTAACCGCCAAAAATATGTAAGCGACATTTTGGCAAAATTTTAATTTTGATGCTTTATGAAAATAAAATTTTGAAAAAAAATGTCCTTACATGATTTTGAAGGTTAGTGCTCGATATGTGAAAATTACGTGACTGACGGAAAACTAACTCACGCAGGCTCCGCAAGCAAAATTTCAGTCACGCAAGATCACAGAAGTTACGGGATTTTTCTCTCAAAACCGCTCACGCTCACACGTGAAAAAGCGTGGCACGACGTGTCACGTAGAAAACCACGTCTTTTGCCCATCTCTAGTATACATACATGTATATGTGCTAATCTCCTTCGATGCTATGAGCGCTTATTTCCGCCTGTGAGCAAGTATTGCAAGGTTTGCCGAGAGTGCGTAATCTTATTTTCCAGTTCAAACGGGGGTCATTGATATTCTGTTCTGTGTTCTTTCTAATTCGTCACACTTCATCTTATACATATGTATATATACCTGGGATGCTTATAAAATTGTGTGTTTCCGTGTATGCATACTTCGAGCAGTGGGCTTTATTAAGTCATTTAAAAAGTAAATTTGTTTTCGGTCCATTTTTTTTGTTGTAATGGCGTAGAAGCATAAATCCACATGACCACTGGTGATTATCCGACAAATAATCACATGTCAAAGCAAAGCATCAGAGAATACTGAAGACTTTTAGATTAAAATGGAAGATCTGTGAGAATAAATGGGAGTCCTGACTGAAACACATCTTCTCATTTGCCGCATCCAGTAAACATTATTATATGCAATTATGTTGGTCATCATTTTCTTTACTACCAATCTTGTTTCATTATTAAGGTTAGGTGGATCAAGGTATCTAAAACAGAATGAAACGCGCTTTAATTTTTAAATTGATATTCTCTGAACGTAGACGGCATGCGTGGTGGGAGGTGCTATGCCTTCTTGCAAACTCTCATCCGATTTAGTTGTCTGTTCGTAATAGGTTCAAGGTTATGGTTCACCGAATGTACTACATCTTTTGGAGGTGCCACGGCAAACACTCACTCTCTTTCACTTTACTTTAAACGCCACGCCCTCTTGTATAAACTCATTTGTATACATTCACCATAGAACTTCTCACCAAATTTCAAAGTCATGTGAATTAGGGGTCCGAATATATAGCATATGTAAAATTTCACGGCTATGGAATGCGCCTCGCTCCCTTGTACAAACTAATTGATATTTACCTCATCATATCCGCATACTTTAGTTATGTCTTCACACAAAACTTCGAACTCGTGTGACTTATCATTCCTAAGTTATAGCTGATTAAAATGTAAAGCCTGTGGGTTATTTCGCGCCCTCTTTTACAAATTAATTAAAATATACAAATATGGATACTTTACTTTAAGAATCTATCGTAGATCCGTCTTCACACCAATTTTCAAAGTCACGCGATTTACGGTTCCGAAGTTATTGCAGATTAAAAATTGCACGCCTATGGGATGTGCCGCGCCCCTTTTAAAAAAAGTATATCTACTTTTCTACAAGCATCTGCCATAGATATGTATGTATGTCAAAACACCAAATTTCAAGTAAGTCAGGTGACTTACGGTTTCGTAGTTATAGCTGATTAAAAATGTCACGCCTATGAGAGGCGCCACGCCCCCTTGTCAGATCCCATTTTTCATACCCTATGTTATGTCCGAGGTCAATGTCTAGGTACCAGCTAAAGCCACATGAAAATCCATTCAGTAGTTCCGGAGATTAGTGAGTTCAAATAGACAAACTAACAAACTTCAGCATTATTATAGTACATATACATATATAGATATAGCACATTCTATAATAAATCAGAGATGGACAAAGTGGCTCCTAGGAGCCTTTTGCACTTAGGAGCCGGTTTGACTCATTTAGGTGCTAGATGAGGGGTATGGCATGAAGGAAAGAAGAGCGTATTAAAATTTCTTTTACTCCAACTCCAATATAATTTGTAAATACTGTATGATGCTTTTAATGTATTTTTACACCCCCTTTACCCCGAGAACTGATCTATCTCTTGCGTAGCACTTGCTGGCTCTTTGGCTGCTTTAAGAGTCAAAAAGCTGCCCATCTCTGATATAAATCAAAGTTACAAACTTTCTGCAAAAAAAGCAACGTATTTAAAAAAATTGTCATCAAAATTTTAAATTTTTTAATGAAGTCAATGATGGACATGATCTATATCTCTCATGATGAAATTATTTTCTAACAAAATTTGGAAATCGAAAATTTCAAAAGTATATGATCTTAAAATGAGCATGATAGTTACATATGTAGTATGTAAATTAAGAAAATCAGTCCACTTCTACATAAATTTGTTTAATATTTTTTATTTCTTAGTTTTTAGTCAATTCGCATATTTCTAGAGGTACATAATTTGTTTGCCCTATTTTTTCAAAAGATAACGTAATTCATTTGGATTTGTTACGAACACAACGTGCCCGCTTTCTTACTGAAATCTATAAGGATATGCAAAAGAAAATGAGCAAAGAAGAACGGTTAGAACTTTTAGTGAAAGTAAAGCAAGTTTTGATGGACGAACGAGACTTTCCAGATTTTGCCGAGGTTGGTATCACTTTCAAAATTTCATTTTTAATATTTATGTATATATATATGCATAAATATATGTATGTAGGATTTATATATACATACTTAACTAAACACTACATTCACTTAAAAAAAAAA